GAGATATCTCAGCGAAGAAACTCTTTCTCTTCTCTTAATTCAGGTCATAGATTAATCATTTATATATTTTTTTTTACAGAAAATAATTAATTTATTACTTTTTTTTTTTTTCATTTTAATGATTTACATTTTAGTTGCAGATCTACAACAATACGCTGCGTTTTCGGGATTTTTTCTTCCTTAAAACGCTACCGTTTAGTTTTTTCTTTATTTATGTTTCTGCCCCTTGATTTTGCCGTCTTTACTCAAGAGGGACCCAAACCCTAACCTGATTCGATTATTCGACATCCGAAATTAGGTACCATGTTCATTGAATTTCTCGTATCAGCTGTTTCTTCTCGACGTTTGGATCAGTGAGTCTCTCGGAGCAGACGGGATTCTCTGATGCACATTTTGATTTCCGTTTGCGTGTTGGTCTTCGAGTTTTCCGTCGGCGACCATGGACGCGTTCAAGGAGGAGATAGAAATCGGGAGCTCTGTAGAGTCGTTAATGGAGTTATTGGATTCGCAGAAGGAGCTTTTTCATAGCCAGATCGATCAGCTACAAGATGTTGTCGTTACGCAATGTAAACTCACAGGGGTTAATCCCCTCGCGCAAGAAATGGTGGGTTATTGTTTTATTGTGTTTTTGGTATCGAAAGTCCGTGTTTTTTCTGTAATGGAAGTTTTGGTGATATGGGCAAAGCTGAGAAAGATGAATTCTTTAAAGGGTAATAAGATTGTTTTTTTTCTTTCTGGGTAATGGAATTGGTGATATGGGCAAAGCTGAGAAAGATGAACTCTTTTAAGGGTATTGAGTCTAATTAGATTAGAGGTGTAAGTTATAGCTCGACCTCTTTGATTGTGCTGTGAACTGTTTATTTTCGACGAACTCAAACTTTGCTTCACTTTTTAATTGCTGGGCATATGTAAATCTGTGTTTGTTCTGTAATGGTAATGGTTAAGCTGTTTATTTTTGGTTCTTGTGTCACTTCTCCTCTAAAGTGATCATTTGTATCTTCTCTGGCAAAGACATTGATCTCTTTTGTTTTCATTTTTGCAGGCTGCTGGTGCTTTGTCTATTAAGATTGGTGAGTCTTGTTAATAATTCTTATCTATGTATACTAAGTTTGTCACTGATATCTCTTTCATGAGTTCATCTTTTCTTCTCTTGCTCTTAAAAAGTATATCACAGATAGTGTTTCATATATTGGTGCTTGCTTGATGCCTCGTATATGATGAATTTGTCAATATTTCAGGAAAGCGGCCAAGAGACTTGTTGAATCCAAAGGCTGTTAAGTATCTGCAAGCAGTTTTTGCAATTAAAGATGCTATTAGTAAGAAGGAATCTCGGGAGATAAGTGCTCTATTTGGCATTACAGTCGCCCAGGTATTGTTCTATTTAACTTCGTTTTTGAATGTTGCCTTCGTCTGCTCTGTTTGGCAATGCTTTTTGAATTCTATGTCAGTTTAGATCTGTAATGTTAAGGTGACTTTTTCAATGGCAGGTTCGAGAGTTTTTTGTTACTCAAAAGACTAGAGTAAGAAAACAGGTGAGGCTTTCAAGGGAGAAGGTAATTATGTCCAATACGCCTTTACTAGATGATGGTGTTCCAGAAAGTAACGGGATCAAGGGAACTCATGTTGATCCGGTACCCTTGAACATTGTGGATGCGGAGGCATCATCTATTAGTTGGGGTGAAGGTGAAACTGTGGCACTTCTGCCACAGGAAGATATTCCACCTGACATCAGTGATTCAGACAAGTACTTTGTTGAGAATATTTTTCCTTTGTTGCGGAAAGAAGAAACATTCTCAGGCCAAGTGAAATTAATGGAGTGGATCATGCAAATACAAGATCCGTCTGTACTGATCTGGTACTAATTGGGGGTTCTCTTTCACTCAGTGTCTTATTTTATGTTATTGTTCTTATATTCCCAGCATGACTGTTATTTTCTATGTGTGCACAGGCTTTTATCGAAAGGAGGGGTTTTAATACTTACAACATGGTTGAGTCAAGCTGCTATTGAAGAGCAAACTAGTGTATTACTTCTTATCCTGAAGGTACAAGACTAATTTACTTGCAATTGGATTGCTGTAAAAAATATCAAACTGTTCTATCATGGATAACTGATAGTTAAAACGCAGGTTCTATGTCATTTGCCTCTCCACAAAGCATCTCCTGAAAATATGTCAGCCATATTGCAAAGCGTCAATGGACTTCGTTTCTATAGGTCACCAGGTAATTTCTTAAATAGTTAAGTGCTGTGTAGCTTTCATTAATGTCAAAGTTCGTGTTATGATTTCATTATCTGATTTGAAGATCAGACATATCAAACAGGGCGAAAGGTTTGTTATCAAGATGGACCAAGTTATTTGCGAAAATTCAAGCTATGAAGAAACAAAATCGTAACAATTCGCAAATTGATTCGCAGAGTCAATTGCTTCTGAAACAGAGGCAAGTTGTGGTTTATGTCTTGACTATATACTTTTTAGTTACCTCCCATTTGGTTGTTTAGTGGCAATTTTTTCTCATAGAATTTTGTCTTGTTATGCAGTATTGCTGAAATCATGGGTGATAGTCGCAATCCAGTAAGTGGGGCAAAACATGCATCTATTTCTACTGTGTAGACCTCATCAATTATTTAAAACCTTTTCTCGTGTTGTTACAGGAAAATATTCTTAGTCTCTCAAATGGAAGGTCAGAGAATGTCAGGTATCATTTTAACTGCTATCTTCCACCTAGAATAGGTTCCCGTTTGATGGTTAGGAGGTTTCATAATCATTGGTTGTATTTTGGTCCAGGAGGGTTGTATCGTCACAGGGTCCAAAACTGTTGCTTACTTCTGCAGATGATTCCACCAAGAAACACATGCTTGGTTCAACTCCTTCATGTATCCTTGTCTTTTAGCTCTTTTATTGAAGCACCCATTGGTTTATATTTTTCTCGTTGCGTTTGAAAAGTTAGCATGTTGAACTCATAGGCTACTTGTGTTATTGAGTTGGTATTTTACATTTGGAACATGATATGTCAAGAGAGCGACCAGCTTCTTCGCTTCATGTTATGGACTTTTTCTTATCTCTGGATTTCTTGTACTTATCAGCTTAAAAGTCAGTTTCCTTAGCTTGCTGTAGATAACAAAGAACGCAGGAAAGTTCAGATGGTGGAGCAACCAGGCCAAAAAGCTGCTGGAAGGAGTCCTCAGACAGTTAGAATAGGAACTTCGAGTCGGAGCCGCCCTATGTCTGCTGATGATATTCAGAAAGCGAAGATGCGTGCTCTTTATATGAGCAAGAATAGTAGAAAGGATGCCTTACCAAGTGCCATTGGTGATTCGAGAACCATTGTTCCTGAGAAGCCCCTGGCTCTTCAGTCTGCGAAGGATTCTCCACCTAGTCAGACCAATGAAGCTAAGATTGAAGACACACCTGAACCTTACACACCTGAACCTTCTTCTGTTCAGTCTGTCAGTTCACCGGCTGTAAATGTGCCGGTACAAGCTGAGGAATATAGAAAACCTTCAACACCTCCACAAAGTGTTGCTAAGAAGGTTGGAGTTTTGTTGAAAATGAGTCCACAAACCATTCTAAAGAATTGCAAGCGAAAACAGATTAATTGGCATGTACCACCAGGTATACCATTCTTCGACTTTCTATCTCATTGACCACTTATGGAATAGCTGAGTTTGAATTGTGGTGGCTATTCAAGTCTCATTCTCATGCCTAGTTTTCTGCAGGAATGGAACTTGACGAACTCTGGAGAGTAGCTGCTGGTGGTAATAGCAAGGAGGCTGATGTTCAGAGAAACAGAAACCGGCGAGAAAGAGAAACAACATATCAGTCTCTTCAAACTATACCGTTGAATCCTAAGGAACCATGGGACAGGGAAATGGACTATGATGACAGTTTGACCCCTGAAATTCCATCTCAACAGCCACCAGAAGAAAGTATAACAGAACCACAGGATTCTCTTGATGAACGGCGAACCGCTGCGGGTGCTGCCACAACCTCTTCATCTCAAAGTGGTTCCTCGGAACCTGATCTCGAGTTATTAGCCGCTTTACTTAAGAACCCGGATCTTGTTTATGCACTGACTTCTGGCAAGACCGGTAATTTAGCCGGCCAAGATATGGTGAAACTGCTTGATGTGATTAAGACTGGTGCACCAAACTCAAATAAGAAGGTTGAAGAAAAAGTAGAAGTTTCTCTTCCATCTCCCACTCCATCAACCAATCCTGGAATGGTGCGTTACTCAAAACCTATGCACCCAAAATTCCTCGGACTATTGGGAACCCTAATGATAGATCATACTGCCAAATTGGATCATTATGATAATTAGTGATTGGAAAAATTAATGACACGGAAAAAACAAATAACTGCACCAAACTCTTGCTATCACAAAACCGGTTTATGAATCTCCAACTCATGAGTACAATCCCGCCATTACAGGATGTTGATGTTCACTGATTTCTTATTCCATTACTGAAGTAAGTGTGTTGTACATCTTTGCAGAGTGGGTGGGGACAAGAAGGGATCCGGAATCCATTTTCAAGGCAAAACCAACTTGGTGCTGCTGTTGCTAGATCGAGTACTCAGCTTCATGCTGCTTCAATGCAATGGCAAACAACAAACGAACAATCAATCCCTCGGCATGCTCCATCCGCATATAACTCACACACTCTGCCTCACATAGAAAG